TGGGATGGGCATGTCGATACTATCCGTTTGGGTACTGTTTTCCGATCCAAGAAAGATGCACAGATGGGTATCATGAGTTGGAACGTTAGTAGGTTGAGGGAGGTTAAGACAACATATTCGAATAAGAAAACATTCAAGGTGGTGTGCACATCTAACGAAGATGAACCTTGTCCGTGGATGGCTCGGGTGACGCACTGCACACGGGTTCATGAAATGTGGGAAGTAAGAGAATGGACTGAGAGGCACAGTTGTATGCAAGAAGTCGAAAAAAATGACCACAGAAATGTAACCGCCACAATGATTTCACATCTTATCATGACCAAGATTCAAAAGAAACCCGACTACAGTGTTACCCTGATCCAGGAGGATGTTAAAAAATGTTGGAAAGTCGATGTGAGCTACAAGAAGGCATGGCACGGGAGGAAAAAGGCCATCGATCGTTTGTATGGCACTTGGGAATCGAACTTCGCGCAACTCCCTCAGTAGGAAAAACGCTTATTAAAAATTGTACGTGTTATTTGTCACTATGTTTTTGTATTGACGATTACGTTTTGTAACGTGCAGGTTTTTTGCGGCGCTTCAAAGTGCGAATCCCACTACGGTTGTAGAGTGGGAATGGCAAGGTGGGGAAATGGCGGCCCACTATCAGCACAGAGAATTCAAATTTGTTTTCTGGGCGTTTGGTCCCGCCATTCAGACCTTTCAGAGATGCCCGCCGGTAATTAGTATGGACGACACACATTTGCGTGGCTCGTACAAGGGGAAGTTGCTCGTGGCCGTTGCACAGACTGCGAATAAGCGGCTATTGCCAATTGCCTATGTGATTGTCAATGAAGAGAGCCAGGAAAGCTGGTCATTTTTCCTGACAAATCTCCGGCAACATGTTGTCGGCGACAGACATATATGCTTTCTTTCGGACAGGGATGCGGGCTTACAGAGTGCCGTGGAATCATTGGAAGCTTGGCAAGAATCCGCTGCATATCACCGGATTTGTCTTCGACACCTTCGGAGCAACGTGGCTAGTAGGTACAGGAATAACAAAATCCGAAATTGGTGTTGGGAGTTGGGTTCACAGGTTTCAGAGAAAAAATTTGAACAGATACGATCGCGGCTTTTGGATTTTAATCCGGACGCATACGAGTACCTGTTCAGAATTCCTCTAGACAAGTGGACCTTGTTTGGAGACGGAGGACGTAGATGGGGTACTTTGACTACCAACATGTCCGAGAGTTACAACAACGTCCTGAAAGGTGTTAGGTTCTTGCCCTGCCGAGCTTTGGTATACGCCACATTCACGAAAACTCTGGACTTGTTTGAGCAGGAACAAAAGAAGTCCACGAGATACAGTAATGCCATTGCTAGTGCCCACTATGCCGCTTATTGCGAATTGGAGACTACGGCCGCAACTCATGAGGTGCGATGTTCGAACGCGGAGAGATCCCTGTACAAGGAGACAACCGGTCTACGGGCTGATGGTAGAGGGGACAAAAAGTAAGTATACGGTTTATTTATTTATTGTATAATTTTTTTTTTTTATTTTGGTTCATTCAAATTTTTAGTTGTTTATAAATATAATTAAATGTGGAAAAACAGGTATAAGGTTTCGTACAACCGGATGCGTTGTAGTTGTCAGAAGTGGCAGACACACAGGAAACCATGCTCTCATGCTATAGCTGTGTGTCGTCAAATAAAAGGTCAACCAAGAGCCTTGTACGATCCCCACTTTTGGACGGAGAATTGGGTGGCTCAATTTTCTAATTGGAGTTTTGCTCCGATTGGTGATCCGGACACATGGCCGATGGTCGGATGGACCTTACTACCACATTGGGAGAGGATTATCACGAAGGCAGGACCCGGTCGCGCGCAGACGAAGCGTCATCGCATGCAAATGGATCGTCGGGCACGCCGCCGGAATGATAGAGGACAGTGTAGTAGATGTGGTAATCCACAACATTTTGTGGATGACTGTCCGGCCTCGCATCCTCGCACTGATAGATCTAGACTCCGTGATGAGTGGGGAAACTAGATTTGTTAGTGTTTATTTTTTTTTATGTTGGACTGTTTTTTTATTGTTTACTTTGATTTGTTGGACTGTGTTTGGATGAAATATTTTTGTTATGTTGGACTATAAATGAGTTGATTTGTTTGTGTATTTTTGGTATAGTGGGTTGTTCTTAATATTTGTAACAGGTTTTAAATGGTTAAACAATAGAAATAACCATTTTTTTTTATATCAGGTAAAGACGTATTTGTTTAATACGTTTTTTAAAAAATAAATATTTAAAAAACATATTTGTTTAATACATTTTTTAAAAAATAAATATTTAAAAAACGTATTTGTTTAATACGTTTTCAAAAAAATAATAAAATTAATTATTTAACATATAATATATAGTATATACTATATAGTATATAATATATAGTATATAATATATAGTGTATAATATATAGTATATAACATATAACATATAGTGTATAATATATAGTATATAATATATAGTATATAACATATAATATATA